AAAGCCATCTCACACTGGGCTTGCTTAGAGCCCTAGAGATCTTAACAACACAGCTCTGCTCTCAACTGGGCACACCTGAGCCCCAGGCCTCACCCCTGCCTGTTCTAAATCAGGGGCTTGCCTAGCCCCTGTGTAGGCCCGCAAACAGTAAGCCCCTTTCCAGGCTGGGCCTTGTTCTCTCTAGGCCCAAAGCCTTCTCTCGGGGGCTTGGAATCTCACTGGGCCCCTAGGAACCTCTTCCATCCCCACAGTTCTTCCCTAGACCTCCAGGTGCACCTAGGAGCAGTAGATATTAAGCTGGAGATGTTATCACAGCAGCATCCCAACAGCAACTGCTGGCTTTGCCTGCCAGGGCCTACTCTTATGCCGTGGCCCTACAGCTCAGACCCAATCAGATGGCCATCTGGGTGTCTTGTGACCTCCTGATTGCCTCTGCAGTCACCTGTAGGCTGCCACTCATTCTGCTCAAGCTGTTCAGCTATTAGATAAAAAGTGCCAAAAAGCTACACTAAAGTGCCCAATCTACATAGACACTGCGGAGCCAAGTTGAACTAACATGCTTCCTCTTCCAGTAAAGCACTGGTTAGGGAGAGTTTCACCTCTCTCAGAGGCCATAGCTTTTATGCACGGGCAATTAAACTAGGATACTACCAGTCACTCACTCTACCTTATCTCCTTTCACCATCCTTGCTCGTGATCATTTCTTCTGCTCTCTTACTTTTGTTTTGTTTTTTAACACTTAACATTGGCTACCAGTCAATCTCCCTTCTTCCTACCATTCTAAACTCAATTAACTCACTGTTTAAACCCACTATCTAAGGTTGTTCTCCTACAATTCCACCGTGGATCCTCTCTAATTCATCTTCCAAGCCCTCTACTTCACTGAAATGGCACCCTAAAGAAGGACACGTTGTTCCCAAAAGCTAATCAAAATTCTTTCCCAGCTATACAGTTGGTGTAATAAAAGATAACACAGAAAACCTTACCTCTTATACTAAGAGCAAGTGATTTAACAGACACAGTGATCATCAGGGATCCGGGTTTTCAGTTTCCCAAGGAAAAACAGAAAACCATGGGTTTCCCTAGATTTTACCTTTTAGCAGAGAAACCTCTGGATTTTCCACTTTTGCAAAGAGCTCTGCAGACTGGCATAATTCCAGCCTGCAAGAGCTGATTGCAAAAAGGGCGTTACCTGTCAGCTCTGTGTTCTTGGGGAATCCTGGTATAAAGGACTCAGCCCCCACCCCCGAAAGGACTTACAAAACACAAGTAAGATGCAGTGGGAGATGCACCTAAACCCCTCCAGACCAGGGTGATAGGAGTGAAGCAACTCCCCTGGTCTCATTTAAATTGGAGATGGAACCGGATGACAACTTATTTACATGGGAGATGGGACAGGAAAGCACTTTCGTTAGCATTCAGAATGGAGAACAGAGACTCCAAGGCAAGGACCGCACTGAATTCTGGGACCAGAGAAGCAGGAGAGCACTGCATGATAGGGGGATCTCTGCTCCAAATGCTAATCAACCCACATCTGCACACACCCAGCTTAGCATTTATCAGACCAATTCTAGTAATGACTCCTTTATTGGTACCCAAAACAATGAATCTGCCTGTTTGTATTGTGAGCTTCCTCAGAGTAATGCCACCCATAGCCAGGAGTGATCAGTTCCTATTATCCAGCATATGAGCCATTACAAACCTAGTGTTCTCCCTTGAGACATTGTTAGTTCTCTACAAAAACCCCTACCCAAGCTTGGATCGAAAAGCTGCACCACTTCCACTTCTTTTCTGCCTGGAATCCCTCCACTGGTTGTGCTGAGGGCTCTGCCTGTCTGCAAGGTCCAACAAATACCTGGGAACGTCAACTGGTTCAAGCTTCACTGAGTGGTGAGACCCCAACTCTTTCTCTCTCTGACTCCAGGAACCTGACTTTTGCTTTCTTACTCCAGGCACAGCTTTCTAAACCTTGACTTTTTTCTTTGATTTTTGCTTCAACCCTGTCGGATGCCTGATGCAATAATATAAAGTCATCCGGTTATACATTGTTTATGTTTTATATAGTTCAATAGGTATATCTCCTATTTTATAAAAGAAATATAACAGCAGAGTCCTTGGCAAGAAGATCTCATGTTTTAAGTCCTCCATCCTGCAAGTAGACTAATGCTACCAGAAATGTGTAGAGCCCCAAACCTGAATCCAGTTGCAGGTTTAATGGGTAAATTAAGAAGCAATCAATAAGAGATCATAAGTTGGAAGGTGTGGCAGGGCATTGTAGGTGCCTGCTACTTTAAGGGCCAATCCAAGCAGCCAACAGGTGCTTAATTGTGGCAGCCATTTTAGATCCATCACTGCCTATATAAGCAAGGCAGTTTGCTACTGGCAGAGCAGGTAGTAACTTTGTTTGACTGCTAGGTTGGAAGTAACATACTGAAGGTAAGACCCAAAACTATGGTGGGGTCTGCTCATCAAGGAGGTTACTAGGTGTGGCAGGGCATTGCTGGTGCCTGCCACTTTAATGGCTGAGCCAAGCAGCCAGCAGGTGCTTAATTGTGGCAGCCATTTTAGATCCATCACTGCCTATATAAGCAAGGCAGTTTGCTACTGGCAGAGCAGGGAGTAACTTTGTTTGACTGCTAGGTTGGAAGTAACATACTGAAGGTAAGAGCAGGAGCTGTAGGGTATGGTTTGGAGGCTCCTGGTCCTGGGCATGACCTAAAACTACATCCTGCTGGAAGTGGGTGGCCTGGTAGGGCTCTCAGTGGTGCGGGAGCCCCCAGGAAATGCTAGGCCAGTTACCACCCCAGTGAAAGGGGTGCCTTAACCCCAGCCCTCACCTTTGGGTGGGCCATATTCCATCGTAGGGCAGGTAAACTTCTGGAGGCACCTGAGCCTGCTGGGGGAGTGACCCTGCAGGGCCGGGCATGCTTCCAGGAGCACCTGAGCTGGGAATGGGGGACCCCGACCCCCAAGTGCAGGCAGAAGCTGAAAACCCAGCTGAGGCACTCGACTGGTCAATGCTGGGACTAGGACCGGAAGGGTCAAAAGGGCCAGGGGCCCACTGCGAGGGTTGCCTGTGAAAGGTCAGTCAGGACCCCAAGCTTCTTTGCTTGAGGCGGGGCCAGGGCTTACAGAAGCCAAAGGTCCCATGATTGGGAGCCACAGCTAATGGGTGAAGGGGATGGTTGAGCCACCTGCCTGAGATGCCATCTGCGAGGCTTGGGCTGCAGTGTAGGGGTGGAACGGAGCTGCAGATAGCCGCCCCACCCCTCCCCCCATATCGGGGTGTAAAATGGGCAGCCTCCTGCCTTAATTAACAATGTAATTAATTAACAAGGTGTGGCAGGTGAGATGGGTAGGGAAACTAGCCCTGTAGCTTGTCACGGATCCCCCATGTTGCCACACTAGGACCACTGTAACAAGAGATTGGGACATGCTGAGTTTAGGGCACGTGAGGGTATTAGCTGAAAGTGCTGATCGGACCCAGCCTGCTCAGACACGCTCTGTTAGTGTGTGTGTATGTGTACCTAACTGCATTTACCTGCTGAAATAAGGGATGAACTGAGTTCAAGGCACATGAGGATGTCAGCTTGTCAATGCTGAATAACCCAGCCTGACTCAGATGTTCTCTGTTAACCCATGTGCTTGTGTCTGACTGCACTTTATTGTTGCCCTGATGAACTGAGTCCAAGGCATATGAGGGTGTTAGCCTGTCAATGCTGAATAATCTGGCCTGGCTCAGGCTTGCCCTGTTAATCTGTGTGTGTATGTGAGTATATGTGTTTGACTGATTCGGTGGTTGGAGGAACCCACCCCATTGAAACTGAGTCCTGCATGATAGCTCCATTGGGGGTGAGGACTTGCAGAAGGAAGAGATACAGCTCCATATAGAAACACAAGTAACACAAAAGCAGCACATTGATAGAATTACAGAGACCCCAGAAATGTACCCCTAATAAAAAAGCACACCCCGCAGTGATGGGCAAATCTGGTAACAGGTGGGAAACCCCCAACCCTGTCTGGGGGGGGAGGGGGAGGGAGAGGGGGGAAAGGGTGCAGGCCCCGAGACTCTTCAACACCCAAGGCTTGGCTCAGGCTCTCTCTCCTTCCTGGAGCCTGGGAGGTAAGTGGGGCTTGCAGGGGGCTGGGGGGTTGTGGAAAAGTATTGGAGAATGACATGGAGTGCCCACTCAGCCAGCAGCACATGGACCACGAGCGGCACACTATCAGCCTGAGCGGGCTCCATGCCTCCATGTGTGGCTTCTCTGAAGAGCCGATACTGTGCCGCTCTGGGTTCACATGCCGCCAGGTGAGCAGGCACTCTTGTGGGAAGCTGGTTAGGGGCTGAGGGAGTGGGGAGGTGTTGGAGAAAGCCCCAGATGGAGTGCCCACCTGCCCAACAGTGCATGGACCTGGAGTGGAGCGGTATTGACCTTTCAGGGAAGCTGCACATGGAGGTGCACAGCTCGCTCAAGCCGATGTGTCACTGGCCAGGAGGGTATTCCATGTGTGGCTTTCCCCAACACCTCCCCGCTACCTCCGCTCCCGGCCAGCATCCTGCAGGAGTGACTGCCTGGCTGGCAGCGTGTGGACCCAGAGCAGCACGCTATTGGCCCTTCGGGGAAGCTGCACACAGTGCACACACATCCTGCCCCTGGCCCCTGCACAGATCTGAGGGGCACGGGTACCCCTCAGCTCCCCGGGAGTGCGTGCTGCTGCTGGGAGCCAGCCCCGCCCCCACCCAAGCCCACAGCAAGCAGGCAGGCAGCAGTGGGGGAGCTGGCTCTGTGCTCCTGCTGCAGCAGCCGCTGCCTTCTGTTGGGGACGAGGGGCACCAGTAGGGCTGGGGGGGGGCTGTTGTGGGGGGAGTGAGGGGCACGAGCTAGGCCAGGGCGGGCTCTGGTAGGCCTTTAATTTTATTCACAGATTTTGGGGGTTTTATCAGAGAATTGTAATTTTCTTATCAGGGAAAACCAGGATCCCTGGTGATCAGTAAATACCTGAGAGGAGGTTCCTGTAGTATTTGATGAAACCAAACTTGTCTGGCTGGTCACAGTCTTTTCTAGGGAGTCCATTTTTTCATAAGTCCTCTTCTGTCTTACTGTGTCCTGCTGCATGGCTGGATCATTAGGGAAGCTTCCCTTACTCTCCATCCCCTGTCTACCTAAAGACCTGTTGCTAGAAGTTATATTGTCTCTTGAGTTCCGGATGACCCCTTTTTTTAACTGGTCTGACTGAAACCTAACTTGACTACTTTCTGCTGAGAGGGTGTTCTCCAACACTTCTGCATCTAGACTTGCTTTGCTTCCTCTGCAGGCTGCAGATCTGCCTACCACAGCACGCATCTCTGCAATCAACTTATCATTCAAAACACTGAGTTCACGGATACTGCCCAGAGAACCAGGTCTTCTCTGCCCTGCAAGTTGACTCTTTTCTTTCCTCTTTCTCAAACTTGGAGAAGGCCCTGTTGAGTAGCCAGAATCTTGTTGACTTATGACAGTTAGAAACTCTTGAGTTTGAAGGTTGTTCTGCCAACTGTGGTGGGCCTCAATATTCCTGAGAACATTTGCTTCCAAAATCCTCCAAGACTGTTTGAAGCTGTCCTTTGAAGTAAGCTGACAGAACTGCAGTTTAGTAGAGCCATCAGCTTCCCCACAAAGAGGGTGAGAATGCTTGGAAGACTGGTCAACATTGACCATATACTTAATGTACTCTCTCCCAGCAGGGCTGTATTCAGAGGTAGAAAGATTTTTCACCTGTTTATTTACAGCCTGATGCTGTGGTATACCAGGGTGCTGCAATAATTTTATTGGTTGGAGATGTTTTTTTAAGCTACTGCTTTGTGACATTTGTGAAGACATTCCATCCACATTTGCATTCTCAGTGTCCATATCTACAGGAGGCTCATCATAAATTGAGGAATCTAGTGATGGGTCATCATATATTGGTGCTGGAGAAGAAAACTTGGGAGACAAAAGCTCTGGTGTCCCTGTTTGACCCACTGGAGGAGACTGAGAAGTAGGTCCATTTGTTAGTACTAAACAAAATCCACCATTCTCAGTCTTTTTAATCTGTATAGACCGTTTCCTTTCTGCTGGCGATGTTGGTTTCACAGCAGCTGGATTCTGGGCTGTGAATTGAGTCTGGGCATGTGTGACTGGTTTTGTAAGTAGAGATTTCTGACTTCTGGTTTCTGGAGTGTTCTGGGCTTGAAATGAATTATTTGATGAAGCTTGCACCTGTTTTAAACTGCTGACTTTGACCAATGTGGCTGATTTAGTGCCTGGCAAAGGCTGCCAGTGGGCAGTAGTTTCTCTGGAGAAAGAAACAAAAGAAAGTTATTTAGGAAAAGAAATGAACAAATATAATTCAGATCTAATGAGCTAGTCAGCAATGGGTACACTAGCTTCAGGTTCTGACCAGACATCAAACTGCAATTGAACACCGTCAGCTATATAAATTCTGCATACTCAAAAACGTACAGTTACTTCCACCTGACAATATTCAGGGCTGTATCCATCCCCTGGGCACACCTAGTGAAGTTAATGGATTTGCCCAAAGGATGGATCAATGTGGCTCATAGAATTCTCATGATGCTGTATATATGCTGCATCCCAAAGGTATAATCAACCAATCTCTAATTACAAAATGCTTCTGAACTCTCTTGCATGTTCCCATGGACCTGTTTCCTCCATCTTGTAAAACAAACCTACTTATGCAAGGATTATCTGTTCCATCCTGTCATGCTTTGATTCTTTTGCAACAACCTTCTCTGCTACTCTTTACATAAACCCACAGTCTTGTGATTGCATTTCACATGTTTGCTAAGGCCTTGTAATCCATACTGCAAAACTGAATCCCAGAGGCATTTTTTCTCACTGTGATAATTGTCCAAACTGAGGTGAGAAAATGGATTTGAGGCAGAAAAGTGATTCTACCATACTCAGAAGGAAAAACTGAAGTGGCTAAGAACATGAAAGAAAAGGGAAGCAGAATCTTCAGGTGCACAGACTTTCCCCAGCACGATAAAGGAAACTACCTTTCACGTGGACACGGAGTCAGAGCTGCCTGCAGCGGGGCCAGGACTGCATGCTGGCCCTGGACTCTGCCTGCCACAGGGGGGGCTACCTGTGCCAGGGGAGCACTGGCCACCGTTGCCCCTGGGCAATCTCCCTACCCGCCACACTCACTGAGGCGTGAGCACTCATGGGGGAATGGCCAGAGGCCAGGGCGCTAACTGCCTATCCCTGGGCTTTGCCCCTTAGGCGTCCCCACCTCAGGACACCACACAAAGGACATTGTACATAGTTTTCACAGGGAAGAAAGTTCTTTATTGTTGGTGGATGGACTCTATTTGTTGGGGCGGGAGGGAGGAGGGGGGCTCTGGTTGATGTGAGAGGAATAAAAACTTGTTCTTCTAAGATGTGTCTGCAGTGAGCGTGGTGCTAGGGGTGCGCAGGGCTGTCTTAGAATGAACTACTGGGTTCAGAAGATTCCCCGCACTTGAACAAAGGACGTACTTACGATTGTTCTCACTCTTGCAAAGCTTTATTTAAGGATACTCGCAGAGGCAGGCAATAAGACAGAGCAGAGAGGATGATCACTTCACATAGGCTCTAGGCAGCGGCCACTACCCTGCATAGTTCCCCTGGCCTCGGAGTGTCTCAATCCCGGGGATGCGATAGCCTGCGCCGGGCTCTGCCCAAGTCAGGATTCTCGCCAGAGTTTGAGGAACTCCCGTAACTTAAGAATGTACAGCTTATATAGTCTGGAGTGAATAATGTTATCTCGAACTAGGGATTTGGTTATCTTAAGCTAAGAATTTGGGGATGAGTCATGATCCAACACACCTGGTGTTTACCACATTCCTCTGTATTACAACATTCTAAGGTTCATGGTTCAGTCACTCTTACAAAGCAAGAAGCTACGTGCTATAATACCAGCATACCATGGAGTCAGCATACAAAACTCTTGCTATGAGCATTAAGCAAAGCCCTTACTATTGCAGAGGCATGGGAGATATGTGGGCGGCAGTACAGGCAGGCTAGAACAGGGAGTCCTGGAGGACATTATTAGCCAGAACCTCCTACACCTGGTGCCCAGGCCCCTGCTGGCAGGTGTGCAGCTCTCCTGGGGCCTGGTGGGGGGCCACCATTGCTGCAGCAGGTGGTGCTCCTGCTGCAGGCATCCTCCACGCACCGCACCTCTTCCACCAAGGGCTTGCGCAAGAGCTCCCCCTAGACCTCACAGAGTCCAGAGGAGAGCCACGCACATGATCAGAGGTCAGGAAAACAGACCTTATGACGACAGGCTGAGAGCTATGGGACTCTTCAGCCTGGAAAAGCGCAGGCTCAGGGGTGATATGCTGGCTACACATAAGGTTATACGGGGCGCTCACCAATAAGTTTATAAGGGGTGTTCACCAGGATCTGGGGGAACATTTGTTCACCAGAGCACCCCAAGGGATGACAAGGTCGGATGGTTATAAACTTCTGCAAGACCATTTCAGGCTAGACATAAGGAAGAATTTCTTTACTGTCCAAGCTGGAATAGCCTGCCATTGCAGGTGGTTCAAGCACCTACTTTGAACGCCTTCAAGAGAAATCTGGATATTTATCTTGCTGGGATCCTGTGACCCCAGCTGACTTCCTGCCCCTGGAGCTGGGGGCTGGACTCAATGATCTTCCGAGGTCCCTTCCAGCCCTAATGTCTATGAAATCTATGTTATGTAGTGCACAGGCTACGACAATGACCCAGGGGAGGTTGTTCTGAGTAAACTCAAGGCAGGCAGTAAGGGTGTGCTAGCATGCCTTGAGATGGCTGAAGGTACACTCTACTAGCACGTGGGTCCAGCCCAGGCAGTGTTTAAAGTGGGCCTAGTGGGGGTCCAGGTGGCTGGAGTAAGGCTGCATTACTCACACCTGGAGCAGGTAGGCAGGGTCCCCAGTGAGGCAGGACAGTCCCACCACAGTGCCAAACTGCAGGTTTGGTACCCCTGGCACAATGTGCCCACTCTCCACCAGGCCCAGCAGGCTGGAGTTTCGGAAGATGCAAGTGTCATGGGCACTGCCTGCCCAGCTGGCACTCACGTGAAAGCACCTTGGTGGTCCACGATGGCCTGGAGCACCACAGACTGAAAGCCCCTCCGGCTGTAATAGGAGCAGTCTCTGTGGAGCAGGCAGGTGATGGGGATGTAGGTCCAGTCCAGGGCCCCAATGCACTGGGGGAATCCCAGGGCACAGAACCCGCCACCACCTCTAGGGGGTCATGCACACAGAGTGTGGTGTGCCCCAGCATGGCCTGGAGCGCCCTGCACACCTCCAGGATGGCTTCCCTGACAGTGGCCTTGCCCACCCCAAACAGGTGGCTGACATACTGCAGACTGGCGGACATGGCCAGCTTGAGCAGGGCCAGGGACAGCCAGGTGTCCATGGAGAGAGGCAGTTGTATGGAGGTGTTCTGCCACTCCAGCTATGGCTGGAGCTGCTCCAGGAGATCCCAGAAGGTGACCTGGGGCATCCTGGAGGCCTCCAGCCACTGCTCATCACCCCAGGTGTGCTGAACAAGGTGCCGCCACCACCAGTCTTGTGTGGCACAGTGGGTCCAGAGGCGGCAGGGCTGGAGGCCCAGAAAGGCAATGGCAGCCCTGGTAGTGGCATCCTGAAGCCTGTCATCAGTGTCCCTGCCAGGGTCAAGCCAGGTGGATGGGGTCAAGGCAGCAGGTGTGCAGTGGTAGCCCTGGGACAGTGCACAGCGAACAGGCAGGAGGTTGCAGCACATGGGGGGAGCTAGGAGAGGCGAGACGGCTGTGGGTCAACCGGCAGTCAGTGCAGCAGCCCAGCAGGGTCAGTGCCGTGGCCAGCAGGAGCATGGGGCGCTGGTCATCACTGCCAGGGGCAAGAGCAGCTATGGCTTGGGGAGGCAGAGGTGGTGAGGAGAGTGCTACCATGTGCTGTCCCTCCGCTGTGCACACTGCTCCTGGCCAGGGAAGTGGCTGGCCAGAGAGCAGCGAGCAGGGCTGGCTTTTGAAGAGGCCTCCCGGCAGCTGCAGCCAGCTCCTGGAGCTCCCCGATCGTGATGAGCAGCAAATCCGCTCCCACTTTCCTGCATACGTAGACGCCTGCCTGGCACCGTTTACTAACAAGTAATTTACTTGCGAATAAACTGGTGCTACAGCAAATGCATGGTTAGATGTGCTTAGTAAGAAACAAATAAGACTCTGGCATTCAAGGTCTGAACTTGAGAGAGGTGAGGTATAACAAAAGAAAGAAGCAATAATGTATTCTTCTAACAGAGAAATCCCTCTGGTTTGAAAACTTGTGGGATAATCACATGTAGAGAAGCACACATACTTCAAATGTTAATAATCTTGAAACACAAACTTGCATGCTAAGTTGCAAAAATATCAGACTGTTACGTTATGAGAAAACATATTTGCAGTAACGTATTTATCTATTTCCATCTCACACAAAGATGGAACCTTCATCCCTCAACCATGACATGGGGAGCAGCAGGCAGCCCACGAAGAAAAACAGTGGAAGAACATAGTGAAAACAGGGATGTAATGAAGAAGAAAAGCAGACAGAGACCTGACAACCACAGACAGCATACAGTAAAGATGCTATATCTATCAAATTTTGAAAAGCAGCAGACTGGGGCTGTGAGGCAGGGGAGAGCAACTTCATCAGCAATCCCATGCAGTCTAGGATGATTGTCTTCCACGGTTGCTTTATCATGAGTCCGAAGATGACTTACAGGCTGAGCTGAGATCGACAGACCCTGCTGCAACTTGGACACGTGCTTCTGTGTGGGGTAGGTGGTTCCAGATTCTTGATTTGGTCTGCAACACACTATTTCTACTGCTCCTGCTTTCCCATCTCCTGTTGTTGTCATAAGGTGTCAAAGTACCAAAATTCTTACATCAGACCCTTTCTTCATTTGGGGCAGTCCTGGGCAATAGTCTCTCATAAGTTGATATCAATGTTAAATTTTTTCAAGTTGGCCTTGAAGATGTCCCTGATGTGCTTTCTCTGCCCTCCTTTTGAACATATGCCTTGACTGAGGTGGAAGAATAAAAGTTCTTTCGGGAGTCTGGAGTTGGATATCTGAAGGACATGGTTGGCCCAGTGAAGTTGATGTTAGATGATCCTCACCTCAATGCTCATGGTGTTTGATTGCAAGAAGATGCTAATGTTGGTGCATCTCCCTTCCCACTGGATTCAAAGGATCTTCCGCGGGCATTCTTGATGGTACTTCTCCAGCAACTTCAGGTGTCTCCTGTACTTTGTCCAAATCTCAGGTCCATACAGTAAGGT